TTTGGCCAAGTAGCTGTCTTCTAAATTTCTTGGCACAGATGAGTGAGTGCCTTGAGTGCTACATCAGTTTGTTGAAAGATTTCAATTTGTATTCCATTAATTCCCAGAGCCTTGCTCTTTGCTAATACCTTCAATGCACCTTGGACTTCTTCCTTCAGTACCATTGGTCCTTGATCATATGCTACCTCTTGAAATGGTTGAACGTTGACCATTTCTTTTTGGTACAGTGACTCTGTGTGTGTGTCTCCCACCCCCACCCCCCTTTATTTTATCCTTTCTGCATCATTTGATATTTTGCCCATAGAATCCTTCAACATTACAACTCAATGAATTTTTTCTTCAGTTCTTTCAGCTTGAGAAATGCTGATTGTGTTCTTTCCTCTTGATTTTCTAACTCCAGGTTTTTGTACATTTCATTATAATATTTGACATTGTCTTCTCGAGCTGCCCTTTGAAATTCTCTATTCAGCTCTTTTACCTCCTCATTTCTTCCATTTGCCTTAGCATCTCTATGCTAGTAACCTAGTTTCAGTGTCTTCTCTGACATCCATTTTGATCTTTTCCTTTTTTCTTGTTTTCTTAATGATCTTTTGCTTTCTTCCTGTATGATATTCTTGCTGTAATCCTCAGCTCTTCAATTCTTTGGTCATTAGTGTCTAATTCACCAAATCTGGTCTTGAGATGATTTCTAAGTTCAGGTGGGATATGTTCAAGGTCATATTTTGCCTCTTGTGGACTTGCTTTAATTTTCTTCAGCTTCAGCCTGAATTTGTATATGAGCAATTAATGGTCTGTTCCACAGTCTGTCCCCAGCCTTGTTTTGGCTAATGATGTGGAGCTTTTCCACAGATGTAGTCAATTTGATTTCTGTGCGAGGTGAGCCCATGCATATAGTCGTCTTTTATGTTGTTTAAAAAAGGTATTTGCCATGAACCAGTCAACGGTCTTGCTAAATTCTATCATGTGATCTCCAGTATTCTTTCCAAGGCCATATTTTCTAACTACTGATCCGTTCTCGTTGTTTTCAACTTTTGCATTCCAGTCACTGGTATGTGCATGTTTGATCAATTTCAGATTGAAGAAGTTGGTAGAATTCTTTGATTTTTGTCATCATTGGCTTTAGTGGTTGGTATGTAAATTTGAATAATAGTGGCATTAACTGATCTTCCTTGTAGGCGTGTATACTTCAAGATAGACCTTGAAATGTTCTTTTTGATGATGAAGGTGACACCATTCCTTTTCAATTTGTTACTCTTGGTATAGTAAACCATACGATTGTCAGATTCAAAATGGCCAGTGCTAATACATTTCAGCTCACTAATGCTTAGGATACGGCTATTTATGTGTGCCATTTCTTTTTTGACAACTTCTAATTTTCCTAGATTCATAATTCGTATATTGTATATTATGATTAGTAGAGGATGTTTACAGCTGTTTCTCTTCATTTTGAGTTGTGCCCCATGAGCACATGAAGGTTCTGAAAGCTTTACTCCATTCGAGTCATCATGGTCAACTCTACTTTGAGGAGGCAGCTCTTTCCCAGTTACATTTTGAGTATCCTCCAACCTGAGGGACTCATCTTTGGCTCTATATCTGACAGTATTCTGTTGCTGTTCATCGTGTTTCAGTAGTCAGTATTCTGGTGTTTATAGTGTTCTACTGCTACTCATAAGTTTTCTTTCAGTGACTAAAGGATCAAAAGCTGTCCTTCTCTCCTTGTTTCTAGTCTATAACCTGGAGGCTCAGCTGAAAACTGTTTACTACCATGGGTTACCCTGCTGGTATTTAGCTAATTTAGCTGATATTTAGTCACTTTAGCAAGAGCAAGTTTCAAAGCCTCTTCTAACATCCATTTCAGTCTGTTCTTTCTTTGCTGTGTTTTAAATGACCTTTCGCTTTCTTCTTCATGGATGAGGTTTTTTATATCATCCCAAACTCCTCTGGTCTTTGGTCATTAATGTCTAATGCATCAAATCAGTTATTGAAATCATCTCTAATTTCAGACAGGATATATGCAAGGCCATATTTTTGGCCCTCTTGCTGGTAGTGGTTATGTGCCCTTGAGTTGGTTCAACTCATAATGACCCTCTATAGGATTTCTGAGGCTGTAAATCTTTACAGGAGCAGAAAGCCTCATCTTTCTCTTGCAAAGTGATGGTAGATTTGAACTGCTGTCTTTGTGGTTAGCAGCTCAACTCATAATCTACTATACTACCTGGACTCCTTGGCTCCTGTGAACTTGTTTTAATTTTCTTCACCTTCAGCCTGAACTTGCATAGGAGCATTTGAAGGTCTGTTCCAATGTGTCCCTGGCCTTACTTTGGCTGATGATACTAAGCTTCTCTATTGTCTCTTCCCGCATGTGTAGTCATTGTGATTCCTATCTATTCCATCTGGTGAGGTCCACGTGTATAGTCACCGTTTATGTTTTTTAAAAAGGTATTTATAATGAATAAGTCATTGATACTGTAAAATTCTGTCATGCAGTCTCCAGCATTATTTATGTCACCAACGTTGTGTTTTCCAATTACTCATCCTTCCTCTTTGTTTCCAATTCCACATTCCAGTCAGTGCATCTTTATTGCATATTTGATCAGTTTCAGACTGAAGAAGTTGGTGTAATTTTCCAATTTCATCATTACTGTCTTTAGCAGTTGGTGTGTAAATTTGAATGTCATATTAACTGGTCTTTCTTGTAGGCATATGGATATTACCATATCATAGAAAACATTTTATTTCACAATGATCTTTAAATGTTATTTTTGACAATGAATTGGATGCCATTCATCTATAATTTGTCATTCCCAGCATAGTAAAACATATGACTGTTCAATTCAAAACAGCCAACCCCTGTTGATTTCAGCTCACTAATGTCTAAGATATTGATCTTTATGCATTCCATTTCATTTTTTATGACTGCCAATATTCCTAGAGTCATACTTGGTTCATTCCACCTTCTGATAATTAGTAGATATTGCAGTTTTCTTCTCATTCTGCGTTGTGCCCCAGCACAATTGAAGTCCCCTAAACTTTCCTCCATCCGCGTCATGAAGGTTGATTCTGCTTTGAAGGAGGCAGCTTTTCCTCAGTTGTATTTTGAGTGCCTTCCAACCACAAGGGCTCATCTTCTGGCACTGTATCAGACAGTGGTCCACTGGTATTCAAAAGGTTTTCAGAGGCTGATCCCTCAAAAGTCAACCAGTTATTCTTTCTTCCCAGTCTGTTGTTTGGAAACTCCACTGAAACCTGTCCAACATGGGTGACTCTGAAGGTATTTGGAATATCCGTGGCATAGCCTGCAAGCTTTCAGCATCACAGTAACACACAAGCCACCAACCACAGTCCAACAAACTGGCAGCCTGGGCAGGGGGTTTCAGCCGAGGCCTGGCATTTAGCTGGGGTGGAGGTTGGAGTGCACATGTGCACGAGGGACTTGGGTCCTGCTGAGAGCTCCTGGACAAGAAATTTAGGCCTGACAGGCACCCAGGACAGCCTTGGGTTTTGCTGTACAATTGTATATTGGAATGCTATAGTAAGAGATTCTTACACATTTGGGATTCTTTTCGCCTTCTGGTTGGAAAGTTTGTCAGTTGAAGTGTGTTCTCTTCTGATCTTTAATAATGCTCTTTGCCTTGGGGTGTACTTTCCTGGGAATAGAGTTACCCCTGATTTCGTTGTCATTGGTGTTTCTGTGGTATTTCATCCATCTTTCGACTTGCAGCCTTTCTGCACTGTGTTTTACATGCAGCTCTTTCAATTAGCATGTCACTGGGCTTGGATTTTTCTTCAGCCTATGACCTCTCTATCAGATGGAGCATTTAGAGTCCACCATGAAAACAATCATGAAACATTGGAAACAGATACTTGCCTGCTCTGTGACGTTTTAGGTTTTTTTCTTTTTTATTGCCTTTTAGGGGATGTGTTTAAAAAACTTTTTTCATTCCATCTCTCCCTTTGGGCAATCGGTAATGACTCTTTCACATTTGTTCACTAGTACAAAGCGCAGCCAAGATACCAGAAAGATTCAGTGTTCCTAGCGCTCTTTCAGACCCAGCCAGACATCGTGCGCTGTGCTGGCCAGTCAGCGCTTGCTGTGTTTTGTGTGCCTTCCACTCCTCTGTACTTCCTGCAGTCGTTAGCCTTCTGTTTGGAGTGGTTCACCTCCATCTCTGTTAGTCAGTGAATACATTTAGTTCACTCTTAATCTTGTAGGACGTGTGTCATTGGGTCTAGAATGCTTGGTTGGCAGTTGTTTTCCTACTGTGCTTTGAATGAACCTGTCAGTCTGCTGTTGTGGAGGAAGGGTCCTTCTCTTTGGTATCTGTATTTGCTCTGTGACAGTTCTGTGTCTGGGTTCTTTCTGATATCGCTCAGGGTCCTGTCGAGTCAGCTAGATGCCTATTCTCAGCTTTCTTCAGATCTTCTGCCCAGATCTTGCTCCCTTCCCCAGGGGACTCTGACTGAAGAATGTTGGGCCTTCTCTCTCCAGACTCTTACCTGCCCTTAGCATTTCCATCCTACTGTTTGTGCTACATGCTGTCCAGGCCGTTTAATTACACGTTTCAGTCATTCTCTTCTTTGGAACGTGTCATCTACTGTTGGACAAAATCTACTGAGTTCTTAATTTGGGTGTATTACCATTATTGGTCTTAGAATTTTTACTTTTTTTTTTTCTCCTCCATTTGTTTCTAGTTTATGGGTTTTCTTTTTTGCCAAATTCCTTAATCCTTTGTTTTCTCTCTTTCTACCAGCCACAGTTATTGAAGGTCCATGTCAGGAGACTGTAGGAGCCCATTTCTCTAGTTTGTGTCTCTTGTGTCTTACTCACTTTTCATCTTTTGGGTCTCGTTAATTACCAGTTCTGGACTTTGTGTGTGAAAACAAGGTAATGAGAGACTCAAGAGTGATACAGTCTTCCCAGCCCCTCTGCTACCTTTCTTCTCAACTAACCTCCTGCCTAGCATAGCCACAGGCTTGAGCTCCGTCCTCTCTCCCTGCAGGTGGATGATGAACTAGAAATCAAGGCCTACTATGCAGGCCACGTGCTGGGAGCAGCCATGTTCCAGATTAAAGTGGGCTCCGAGTCTGTGGTTTACACGGTCAGTGGAGACTTGGGGCCATGGCTGGGCTGTGGACTCTTTAACAGGTGGGGCCCCTCCTCACTCCTGTTCTTCCCCATCAGGGTGATTACAACATGACCCCAGACCGACACTTGGGGTAAGTGGGCAATGCATTTGTTTCACCCAGGGAGGTTCCCTCAGAGCTTGGCTTCTGGGGGTAGGCACAATGCCTGTGTCCCTTGGGTGTTGTCTCTTCCCCTGCTCCCCAGCCCCTGTGAACCAGGCTCCTGGCATGTGGACCACTTGAACAGAGGAAGCTGGCGGAGGGACCCAGATAGCTGCTGGCTGTGACTGGGCCTGGGGCCAGTTTGTTTCCCTAGTTCTTTGGTGCTGCAGGCCTATGTCCAGTCAGCTTGAGGAGATGGGCAGGGGCCTGCACTGTGTGGACAATCTCTCCCACCTCTGTTCCAGGGCCGCCTGGATCGACAGGTGCCGCCCCAACCTGCTGATCACAGAGTCCACATACGCTACAACCATCCGAGACTCCAAGCGCTGCCGTGAGAGGGACTTCCTCAAGAAGGTCCATGAGACTGTGGAGCGTGGCGGGAAGGTGACTGCTGACCATTGACACTGTGGGTGGGGTTTTTAGTCTCACCCACTTGGGACGCAGTGCTACTGGGTGTGGCTCAGCTGCTTCTGAGGTGTCCCGGGTGAGCACCACTTGGCCCATTGGGTCATGGGTATGACCAAGAATCTGCTTGCCAGTCCCTCCAGTACGCCCTGCCTCCCTAGGTGCTGATCCCAGTCTTTGCACTGGGCCGTGCCCAGGAGCTCTGCATCTTGCTGGAGACCTTCTGGTAGGTTTGACTGGAACCAGCCTGGCCACTTGGGCAGGGGGGGAAGGGGACCCTAGTAAGCTGCTGCATTGACAGTTGGGTGGGTCCACAGGGAGCGAATGAACCTGAAGGCGCCCATCTACTTCTCTACTGGCCTGACCGAGAAGGCCAACCACTACTACAAGCTCTTTATCACCTGGACCAACCAGAAAATCCGGAAAACCTTCGTCCAGAGGAACATGTTTGAATTCAAGCACATCAAGGCCTTTGACCGAGCATTTGCAGACAACCCTGGCCCAATGGTGGGGCCTTGTTTGGGAGGGTGTGGGCAGGGTCAGCCACCCACTGGGGGCATTAGGCTTGGGGTCCCCGTTACATGTAGGAAACTAATGGGCAGCTGTGGGGAGGGGATCTTGCCAGCACACATCCTGGGGGAGTTGGGGACACTAGTGCCTGGGGACAACCAGGTGGGTCAGGAGTAGAGCAGGGGATCAGGTCAGGCTGGTTCTTATGTGGATCCTGACTCCTAGGGTGTGCCTCTCACATGTTGACCACAGGTGGTGTTTGCTACACCTGGGATGCTGCACGCTGGCCAATCCCTGCAGATCTTCCGAAAGTGGGCAGGGAATGAGAAGAACATGGTGAGGATCCAGGAGGGAGGCTCCTGGGTACCAGTCATCACAGTGTGCCAGACCCTCAGCCTGGGCTGGTTCTGCAGAAGTTTGTAGGCTGGGGAGGGGCTGTTGTTAAGATGGAAGGAGCTTCTGTGGGTGTCCCTGAGAGGTGAAGACAGAGGGTCTGTAGGCTACCCTGTACCTTTTCCCTCCTGCCCCTGTAGGTCATCATGCCAGGCTATTGTGTGCAGGGCACCGTGGGCCATAAGATCCTCAGTGGGCAGCGCAAGCTGGAGATGGAGGGGCGGCAGGTGGTGAGCACCCGTGATTGGGCCCTGCCCAGCACCCAGGGATTTGGGGAATGGGCAGAGCCCAGTCATGCTGTATGATAATGGCACTGCCATCTGCCCTGCAGCTGGAAGTCAAGATGCAGGTGGAGTACATGTCATTCAGTGCCCACGCTGATGCCAAGGGCATCATGCAGCTCATTGGGCAGGCAGAGCCCGAGCATGTGCTTCTGGTGCATGGTGAAGCCAAGAAGATGGAGTTTCTGAAGCAGAAGATTGAGCAGGAGTTCCGTAGGTGCCGCAGCCCATTGTGGAGTGCAGCCCACTATGGAAGGGGTGCTGGCAGGGCTGGTGGTGGGTGGGGCCAGCCAGGTCTGGACTGAGGCCAGCTCTGCTCATCTTCCAGGAGTGAATTGCTACATGCCGGCCAATGGCGAGACAGTTACACTGCCTACAAGCCCCAGCATCCCTGTAGGCATCTCACTGGGGCTGCTGAAGCGGGAGATGGCACAGGGTATGCCAGCCTGCAAGGTATGTGGGTGGACAATGAGGCAGTCCTATGCCGGCAGCTCCCTTGTTAATGGCTGTGGTTCCTACCTACAGGGCTGCTCCCTGATGCTAAGAAGCCCAGGCTGCTGCAGGGTACCCTGATCATGAAGGACAGCGTGAGTGAGCAGTCCCTGTGTGAGGAGGGGCCCTGACCTCCGTTCTGGTCCCCCACTCTGCTTTCACACTCTATCCCTGCAGAACTTCCGGCTGGTGTCTTCAGAACAAGCCCTCAAAGAGCTGGGACTGGCGGAGCACCAGCTGCGTTTCACCTGTCGCGTGCACCTGCATGATGCCAGGAAGGAGCAGGAGACAGTGATGCGTGTTTACAGCCACCTCAAGAGGTGACAGTCCCGTCCCAGCCTCTAGTCTTGTCCCTGTCCCAATGCAAGGGCTCATTGTGCCCCTCCCACAGCATCCTGAAGGACCACTGTGTACAGCATTTGCCCGATGGCTCAGTGACTGTGGAGTCCATCCTGATCCAGGCTGCCGCCCACTCGGAGGACCCAAGCACCAAGGTGCTGCTGGTCTCTTGGACCTATCAGGTAGGTGGCTAAAGAGGCGCAGAGCTCCCAGGAAGCAGTGCTGGGTACAGGCCATGTGGGTGACTGATGGGAAGGAAGGCCCTGCCTGACAGCCACCTCCCTGCAGGACGAGGAGCTGGGGAGCTACCTCACGTCGCTGCTCAAGAAGGGCCTTCCCCAGGCTCCCAGCTGAGCCCCACCAGACCTGCCACCTTTGCCTCCACCTCCCCCCACGGAAGGCCCAGGCACCACTCCAGGACAGCTTCACTTGGGGGTCTGCCCACTACATCTCCCTGGGTGAGCAGAGCCCAGGGCCAGGTTACAGGCCTCCCACACTTGGGACAAGGCCTGTGGTGGTGGGTGCTCCTGCCACTGAGAGGAGCTGCTGGCTCAATAAATATCAGGGCTCTGCTGCCTCTGGACCTTTATTTGCCTCTGTCCCTCCTGGGAATGGGGGGAAGCTTCTGGCAGTTTTCAGTAAACACCGACCACTTAGGGATCCCTTCTGGATGCTCACAGCCTCAAGGGTGGGGGGTGAGGCCCCCATAGCACCACACTCCACAGTAACACTGGAGTGTGGGTGTGGAAGGCTGAGGACATTCTCCCATGCACATGGCTGAGTTGTGAGGCCCAGCAGGCTAACCTGGGTTGGGTTCACACAGCATGTCACACTGCCCTGATCTTGGCTGGGCACTAAAGGCTCCCACCCTGTTGGTTCACAGAGCACAGAGGCCAGGAGCCTTGGGACCTGCTTGGTGATGTGTAGGGAGTGGGTTTGCTGCTCTGCAGGGCTGCCTCTTGCTGCTACCTAGGAGTGGCCGTCCAAATCCACCCAGAGCCTTCACACGTGGCCTCCATCTTCAGGAGTTTTACACTAATAGGAGGCTTCTCCATCCCAAACTCCTGGTCCTTCCTGGGCACAGTTCAGAGTCCCATCTGTGAGGAATAAAAGAGAACTGTAGCTGGCACTGCTACTCAGAGGCCCACAATGAGCCCCTGGAGGGAGGGGTTGGACAGTGGGGGACACAGCTGACCCCTCCCAGCCCCACTCTCTCACCTTGGTTCGCAAGGCCTGGGTATCGCACCGCCACTAGGAACAGGCCATGTGCTGGGGCCACACGTGTTTGGTACTTGCCCAAGGGATCCTTACTCTCAAGGATTGACTTCACCTGGGCAGGTGGCAGTGCCCCCCGCCCCACAGCCACCAGCACTGCTGTCATCCTCCGTACCTGCAATCCCAAGGCAAGGCTGCTAGGGTGGCCCAAGTCCCCTGCTCCCTCCTCTGCCACTACCTTCTCACACACCAGCCCAGGACAGAACCTACCTGCCGGTACAAGAAAGACTGGCTCTCAAACTCCAGGTTCCAGAACCGCAGCCCCCTGGAGACATAAGCACTGTGATGTCCTGTAATAGCTGACGGGACGCAGCACCCCCAATGAGACCAAGCAGAGTGTGCAAGGCATGGGGAGCGAGGCACCGGGCCAGCCAGTACCAAGTGCTGGACAGTACCAAATGCTGAGATCAGCTTTGTGCCCAATGGCTTCTAAGGCCCTGGGAACCCTAAATGACTCCTCCCTCCCTGAGTCAAACTACTGGGAGGGAGATTAAAACAAAACCAAATGGGCTCCTGGAAGGGGTGATCCAGACTCCTGGAAGTGGGGGGACTTGGCCTGGCCAGGGCCACTAGCCAACCAGCCCCAGTGCTCTCAGAAGAAGATAGATGCTAAGAGGTCAGCTGAGGAAAGGCAGGCACCAGTTTCAACTACCAGTACATTTTGGCGGGAGTCCTCACTGTCCCTACAGATGTCCCTCCTCCCTCAGAATTGGCTCCAGCAGTTGCCACCTGCCCGGAGGCACACTGAGCAAGGAGCGGAGGCAGCGGAACCCACCCGTTGGGCTGGGCCGGAACCACCAGTCTGGAAAGCTCTCCCCCATGGAACCTTTTCAGCAGCTGCCAAAATCCACCACTGGATCACCAGCTCGGGGCAGGGAAGGGGCATGCAGATAAAGAGCATTCTGTTTTCTGTCCCCAGCCTGGCAGGGACCCCACCCAGGGAGGCCACAGCTGCAGGTTCATGGCATTCTGGGCCACGACCCTCCAGCTGGATATGCAGTGACTACCACGTAGTCAGACCTGGGGGTGTCTGACACCGGCTTCCATTCCTAGCCCTGCACTGCCTGCAGGTAGGGTAAGGAGCTGGGGCTCCTTTCAGCTCCAAGTGGGTTTAGATTTGGTGCTGGTGGCCATGAGGGCATGATGAGATGCAGCCTCGTCCTCACCTGTTCTCCTGAGGAGTAATGAAGGGGCTGGCTTGCCCCGGGGATACAGTGGCACGCCGCAGAGTACGCACTGAGCTCCTGCTTGGGCTGCCGGATGACTGGAAGGCACTGAAGTCATGGGTTCCCAAGAGGTGCTGGGCAGCATCCTGCATAGCTGCAACATCCAGGCTGCTGAACCAGATGAGCAGTCAGGTGGGAGGGCCAACCAGGTGGGCCTGCCACCCTCTCCCTAACTACACTCACTCAGTCCTGAGCATCCAGCACAGATTTCGTTCAAACACTGAGAGCTGGTCTGGCCCGTGGCAGCCAGTGACCAGGCGGTACAGGTAGGTCCTTGAAGTGGCTGCATGGCGGGCGTGGAAGTTGCTGGGCACCCTGAAGGCCTGCACCACCCTGTGGAGCACAGTGGGCTACACTGGGAACGACCTGGCTATCCTGCCGAGGAGGAACCGCTGGTCCTTTCTTTTTTCCAGCCTGCAGTGGGCAGAAGTCAGCCAGCCAGAGCAGGGAAGCTAGTCACTGGGCTCACCTGATGGCCGGGTGTCTCAGGTGGGTGTTGAGGGCTTGGGTCAGGACCTCGGGGGTGAAGGGTGGTTGGCCTGAGCGGCGCTGGACATCCAGATGTGCCGAGTTGCTCAGCGCGTGGACACCAGCATCTGTGCGGCTGGAGATGGTAAATTTAACTGGTTCTACCGAATTCAGTCGCTCAGCGGCCTCCTGTAGAACAGAGCAACTACACGGCACGGAGGAGTAGAGGCTGGGGCCCCAACAACAGTTCCCTGTCCCCCAGACACCCGTGTGGCTTCCTTCTGCCCTCACGAAGGCAACCAGGGCCTCACTGCACCCGCTGTCCAGCGGGACTCACCTCCAGGAAATTCTGGACCCCGATGGCACGCTGGGCGCCCTTGACGGCCACGACCCCGCTGCGGACGGAATCGAAGGGAAGGGGGTCACCGCCGAGGTCACAGCCGCGCCCGTCCTCGGACGTCAAACAAAGCCGTTTCCTTCCCCCGAAAGCTTGGATCGCCTGTCCGGAGGCGCACCCTAACGCGCCGACTCTAAATTTAGAGCCCCACGCCCCCATCCCGCCCAGGGCTCGTCAGCCCAGGCTACGCGTGGCGGGGGTGGGAATGGGGGATGGGATGTGGAACGTACTTGAAAGCGGTGCCCAAGTACTGGAAGTACACAAGGTAGCGTGCCCGCACTGCGCCCGCAGGGGCTGAACCCATAGTCAGACCAAAACAGCAAAAAACAGGACTGCCAGAGCAGAGGCAGCGGGCCACACGTGGGGGCCGCGCGCGCGCAATTGAGCGACGGCCCCGGACGCGCTTGCGCGTGTGCTCACTCCGCCCTTTGTTCCGCCCAACAAAAAGGAAGGCAAGGGGCGGGATCAGGATCGGAAAACCAAAACCAAATTCATTGCTATGGAGCAGACTCAGCGATCCCAATGGGTAGAGTTGTACAGCCCCACCGGGTTTCCAAGGCTGTAATCGTTACGGAAAGGAGCCCTGGTGGTGTTGTGGGTTAAGTACTAGGTTGCTAACCTCGAGGATGGATGTTCAAACCCACCAGCCGCTCTGCGGGAGGAAAATGAGGCTGTCTGCTCCCATAAAGATTTATAATCTACTCTGGCCTATAGGATCGCTATAGCAGTGGGTTTTGACTGTCGCCTTTCTTCCGTGGACCTGGCGACCTTTCGGTTTGCATCTGAGCGCTTAACCACTGCGCCACCCGGCCTGGGGAACGGGTGCAGAATGTCCACGACAACCATGCGGTGATGCTCCCGTTCCCGCACTCATACACTCACTCCTTCACTCACTCATTCCTTCGCGCACTCTTTCACTCACTCATTCACTTCCTCCCCTTTCATCGCTGCCTTCCCTTCCTCCCCCACTCCACAATCTGGCCAAATCCTCCTAGCTGAGGTTTTTGCAAACGCCCAGAGTTGCGAGTTGCGCAATGGCTGCGCAATGGCTAGGATCGCTGCAGCGGGCGGGGGCGGTTCCAACCCCCCACCCACCGCTCCTGAAGCCGGATTTGCAGTGGACCAGCCTAACTTCTCCTATCCAGGCGTCGAGGTCTGAGCCGGCAGTAGAGACGGCCTCAGTAAGGGGCGTGGGTGAAGCTCCCAGAAGGTGACAGCGGGCGGCGCGCGCGGGCGGCGGAGTTTGTCGACGTTCCCCGACAGTGACAGCGGGCGGCGCGCGCGGGCGGCGGAGTTTGCCGACGCTCCCCGGCGGTGACAGGCGGGGCGGGGCGGCTTGCGGCCTCATTCCGAGCGGGCGGGCGCCGAGCGCGGCGCGGGCGAGACAAGCGGGCGGCGGCCGGGCGGGCCGGGGATGCCGCTCGGCGCGCTGTGGTCCTGAGCCAGCAAGCCGACCGGCCGACGCAGCCATGACGGTTGAGTTCGAGGAGTGCATCAAGGACTCGCCGCGCTTCAGGTGCGCGGGCCCGGCCTCAGCCTGACCCTGGGACGCGCGTGGCTTCTTTGTGACCACGGGACCGGCACCCCAGCCGCCTCCCTCCTGGCACCGGGACACTGGGCGGGGGGGTTAGGGGGGGTGGGCGGCGGGGGAAGGAGCGTCGATGTTGCCTTTGTGCCTGGCAGGGGAGGGAGGGGGTCAGCACCGTGCCGGGCAGAGCCTGATAGACAGACTGGCGACTGGGAGGCTGGAGAACCCCCGCCTCGGACAAAGCCCGCAGCCCCACGGCTGCGCGGCCCACCCTGCACCCCGCTACCCGTACCCCCCAGGAGTCCGGAGGGACCGGAACAAAAGATGCCTCTTCTGTTGGTCACCTCTCACAGAGGGTGTGAGCTGACTGGGGGCGGGGCGCCGCCTGGGGGCTGAACCAGCCAGCCCCTCGCCTGCATCTTTGTCCAGCTGGGCAGCTGTGGGCACCGCCACCTCTATGGGAGAGTCCACTCTTGCCCTATGGTGCCATGACCACCTACACGGGGCTAAACCCTGAGTCCTTCTCTTGTCCTGGTCTGGGCCGTTTGGGTCCCACTCTACCTACGTCTTGCTGCATGTGTGGACCACAGAGCATGGGGACCAGGCAGCTGGAGTGTGGCTGAACCTGGGGTTGGCAGCTTGACTGGGGTGAGGCCTGTGTATAACCTAGAAAACCTGGAGGGATGGGGGCTACTTGAACCCACTGGATGGAAAGGTCAGGGTGGGGAGGGCTAGGGGCTCAGTCCACCCATAGGTGTGTGGTTGATCATTCCTGGATGTGCAAACATGCACACCTGTGTGCATCACATCTTCACAGTGTACACTTTGTCTTACTTATTGGACATTCAGCAAATAGTAAGGAAGCACCTCCTCTATGCCAGGTGCTGGGGTGTTCACAGGTGTGTACCTGCTTGAATGCATCCTACCTGTGTGCAGTGCACATTGGACCACTGCCCCTGTATGCACACTGTGAGGTGCAAGCCCTCCATCCCTGAGTATATGAATGTGTGGGTGAGCTGCATTGGGGCAAACATGCATAACAAGCACATATGTGCGAGTGATGGGTGCTTACACGTGTGTACAGGCCATATCTCTGTGTAAAACACAGTATGTTTATCACATGCATAGGCACTCTGTCGCTGAGCATGCGTATTCACATATTCATGTGTGTCCCATCACTGGCATATGTCTGCATGTGTGTGTACCATATCTGTGGATACACCTCTGCTATGCTGCTGCATGCATGCATGCACATGTGATCATGCATGAGTGTGGGCACTGTGCTTCTATGCACATGTGTATTTGGTCATGCATGTGGGGAGGCCCTGGGAGTGAGGGACCCGGATGTGAGTACACCCCTGGACACTATCTCCCATCTTCCATAAAGGTCTTTTGAAGCTGGGGTGGAGGGTACCCAGGGCACAGCCCAGAGTAGCCCCGGCTACAAAGCAGAGGGGCTAAGGCGCCTGTCTGATTTCTCACATCTTCTGTTTCTGATGATTTCTGATGAGGGGGCTTGGGTAGCTCAGGCACTGCATGATCCTGAGCCCCCACTGGTCCTTGTCTGGGTAGAGCTTGGGCTGTGTGTGGGGAGGGAGATGGCCAGTGCCCCTTGGAAGGGACTTTATCCCTTGCTTTGCTCTGGTCCCCCACCCCCCCACCCCTTGATCTGAAGCCTTAGCTTCTCCTTTCTGGTGTGGATGGGTCAGGACTGATCCTGTCCTAAATATGAAGGGACCAGTTGAACCCAGGAAACACCACACCTCATTTGGCTCCTCCCTACAGGGAGGGGCTGCCTGGGAAAGTGCTGGAGGGAATGGGGTGGCAGGGAGAGGGAGGAGTGGTGGTGAGGATGATTCACAGCCTGGTCTACAGGGCAGCCTGGCTGGGGTGATTTAGGGTTGTGACTGCCATCTGAGCTGGAATTGGACAGATGCCCTGAGGGCAATACTGGGGTCCCCTCTGCTACACCTTAGGTGCTGCCCCCAAGTGCAACTGGACTTGCCTGGCAGCCTGTCCTCTGGGCAGTAAGGGTGTTTGATTAGTGGGTTCAGCTGCCTCCTCTGGCCAGGGGAGTCGGCTGTGAACAGCCTAGGTAGAGCCTGACAACCCCCAGCCTCTCAGGGGGTCAGCTCTGGTACTCCCAGCTGCACAGGGGAGCCTCTGCCCCTAGCTCCCCTGGGTAGAGCTTCAGACACTGAACCATAGATTTGGGGGGAGAGAGCTGGAGGCACCTCGCTCCCTGCCTATTCTGTGCCATGGAGGAAATCTAGGAAAGATGGTGGAAAGGAGACCTTGAGATTCTGGGGTCAGGCAGAGGGAGAGAAGAGGGGTCGCTGGGCTTCCAGGGTGGAGCCGGCTAATCCCCAGCTCCCATTGCTGGCTTGCCCTGTTACTCCCCAGGGCTCTAGGTGCCCCCAGCTTAATGGCAGCAGCTCTGGTTGCTCACCACTGTTCCAGGCAATGCTGTGCTGAGGGAGTAGGGGGACTCTGGGCGTGGCTGCCTCTGCAGCCCAACCTCAGGGCAGCTGGTCTCTCTCTCCCTTGCCCCAACCCTCAGAGCTTCCAGGATGACCTGCCAAACTGGACCTACTGTTGGGGGCTAGTCTCCTTGGTGGGAGGGACCTTAAGGAAATTCTGTTAAGGCCCTATGGGCTCCTGATGCCGCCCAACCCCCACCACACACTTCAGTCCTCGGGTTCCCTGGAGTGGGTCCGGTAGGTAACACAGATGAGGTCGCTCCTCAGTCAGGGACCAGTTACACCCACAGACCCTAGACTCCTCCTCCCCCCACTGGGAAATCCTTGGGCGGCAATAGGTGTGGGGCCATCCCCCAGCTGGGGTGGGGCAGCTTCTTCCTGAGTACCCAGCATCAGCCTGTCCTGAGTCCTAGCCCACATCCTCATACCCAGGAGGCCAGATGGGCTTAGCTACCAGCTGAGCAGCCATGGGGGTTGGGGAGCAGCTGGGATTCTGGCCCTTTTTCCCAATTTCCTGTTCCCGGAGCATGGGGGGGGGGAGTGTCACGTGCCCTATCCATCTGCCTGCTTGCCTTCCTTCCGGGGATTCTCCTTCGTGGCTTCTCCAGTGCTCCAGTGATGTCATGTGTTAACTCTTTAATCCCCAGACAGCCCATTGTCATGCTGTCTTGGGGGCCATGGGCTCTGCTGAGGCCTGGCCCACCCCTCCCCTGGGGCTACTCTTGCCTTGTGGTGTTTTGAGATTGGGGAGTTTGGGGAACAGTCCCCTCTGCAGCTGGTCTGGGATCTTGAGCTGTTGTCTGAACAGACAGAGCAACCATCTGACCATCTCCAAGCAGCAGCCCCAGGGGAGTGGAAGGGTCAGGCACAGGGGCTGTATCAACCATGGTCAACTAGGGGCCCCCACCATGTATAACGTACCCAGCCTCTGTCCTCAGGGTACTTTCTGTCCACAGCCAACTTGGCTTCTTCCTGCCTGGGATGGGGTTGGGTACAGAGAGTCCCACACCTGAGTCATCTGTGACCTCACTTCCTTCCGGGGCCCTGCATCTGCCTGTCCAGCCTCAGCATTTTATTGTGCATACAGCACCCCTATCACATGCAACTTGATCATAGGGCAGGGGTGTGGGGGTGACAGTAGGTAGCAATGGCGGACCCTTCCCCAGTTAGCTCCTACACGAGTCAATGAAGCTCCTACCTCACCTCGCTTAGGGCAGCTGCCCCACTCACTTAGCCATCTTGTTTCAGGGCGACCATTGATGAGGTGGAGACTGATGTGGTTGAGATAGAAGTCAAGTTGGACAAGGTGAGGGGGACCTGGGGAATCTAATGCCTCTGCCTCTATGTCCAGCATGGCCTTGTGCTACAGGGGAGCCCCTGAATGGAGCTTGGTGTATCCTTGCCCCTGTGTGGGTGTGAACACACATACCTTTGTCTGCCCCTGAGTCTTGTCCCATCAGGTGTGGGTAGACTCAGGGATCCCCAGACCCTAAGGTTCTCCTGTCCTGTCTAACTGTCCACTGGGCAGGGCCTTGGTGTGACTGGGTTAAGGGGCTGAGGGCTGAGGGAGGGGCAGGGGCAGGCTTAAGCATCCTGTGAGCCTCCAGCTGTCTGGGGGACCCTCCCCATATATTTGTCCTATGCCCCCTAACTCTGGGATCCCTGACTGCCTCCCTACCCCACAGTACTGCTGGTTCTATGCTCCCTCTATCCCAGGGCTACTGACTGGTTCCTGGCCTTTGGCAGAACCCTTTGCTTCTAGAGCTGAGGCCCCAGGTGGTGCTGCCCACCCCAGACTTTCTGCCCGTGCCTTGCCCTGGATGCCCCTCCCAGCCCCAGGCCTTTTGGAGCTCAGTGGACAATGGGCTTGGGTGATAGCTCCTTTCAGTCTCTGTCCCCAGCCACATAGGAGACTGCAGACTGGGCTTCCCATCTTGGGGCAGTTTCTGGGCAGATGCCTGAGGGTGGGTCTGAAGGAGCTTCAGCCTTCCCCATTCCCCCCTCCCCTCCACAGCTGGTCAGGCTCTGCAGTGGCATGATCGAGGCCGGTAAGGCCTATATCACCACCAACAGGCTCTTCCTGGGCGGCGTCCGAGACCTGTCCCGGCAGTGCCAGGGCGACAGTGTCATCTCGGTGAGGGGTGTTGGCAGGGGGTGGGACGAGGGGGCTTCTCAGGATCTGCCACATCCTCTTGTGGGGTGACTAGTCCTGAGAACTACTCTGAGAGTTCTGAGGTGGGATAGGGTCTGCTGCCCAGTCTGAAGTCCTCTCCCCCTACCTTTCCCACTCCCCAGGAATGTCTGCAGAGGTTTGGAGATAGCCTGCAAGAGATGGTTAACTACCACATGGTAAGCACGGCCCCCATAACCCTACCTCCTCCCACCCCCCAGCCCCAGCAAGAAAGGAGATCTCCAAATGGCTCACTGGGTGGAGGTCATGTTTCAGCAGCTCTTGGGTATGGACAGCTGCCCTCTGAGAGCCAGGGGGCCCCACTGAAGGGCTCTGCTGTATGCCAAGTAAGGACCAGACTGTAGTATAGGGTGGTGTCTGGGCCCTGGAGGACACAGCCCTGGCCCCGAGGACCTGCTGCCACCAGGGCTGATGATCCTTCACATGGGGGGTCCTGCCCTGGCCTGAGAACCAGAGCCCCAGACTAAACATGCCCCACCCCTGGGGAAGTTCAGAAATAAACTTTCTGTCTGTCTGCCTGCCCTGAGTCCAGGACCCAGCTCCCCAACCTGATTCTGGGTCTAATCAGTGCTTTGTTGTTGTTATATGCCGTGGAGTCGGTTCCGACTCATAGTGACCCTGTACAGGGTTTCTGAGGCTGTAAATCTTTACAGGAGCAGAACACCTCATCTTTCTCCCGTGGAACAGCTGGTAGTTTCGAACTGCTGACCTTGTGGTTCGCAGCCCGATTTGTAATCACTACACTGCCAGCTAGAGAGAGCATAAATGATCCCTCTAGCTACTACCTCTACCCCACACCTTACTTCCTCTACAAGGCACACTCAGGGGCCTGCCCCCTCCAGCTTGAGTGTGGCTGGCTGTCACCCTTGAAGTCCTAGAGAGCAAGGGTCTCACAATGTTCCCCACCCTAGTCCTGTGAGGTCGGTCTGGTAGGAGGGGTATATCAGAGCATTTTTTTAACTCAGCCTGACCAAGAGGGGGTGAGCAGATAGTCACAATTATCACCTATAGGCACCAATTCCGCCCATTTGGGTCCTTTCTTGGGTGGGTCTATGGTAGGGGTGGCTACATCTCTCCATGGCTGAGTTGGGGTCCCTGGTAGGGCTAGGGAGCTTTTCCATCAGGGGCTTGAGAACCTTGCCTCTGGGGTCCCACAATGCTCCCCCACCCTCTCATACCCCCAGATCCTGTTTGACCAGGCCCAGAGGTCCGTGCGGCAACAGCTCCACAACTTCATCAAAGAGTGAGTGGCCCCTGCAGCCTCCAGGCCCCAGGTTCTCCCAGCCCTGAGCTCCTCCCTTGGTCTAAAGGCCTTCTCCTGAGGCAGAGAGGGGGACTCCATGACAGCTGCCAGGAAACTGAGTCACTGTCACGGGGTTAGGGCCCCAGCGCTGAAGGGAGGAGCAGCGTGTGCCTATACACCAACCCCTGGAGGCCTGGGGCTACCTGACCAGGCGATCTTAGCTAGCAGCTTCAAGACTGGGAGGTGGTCAGGGCTGGGTGGAAGAAGCAGTGGTCCTGGGGAAGCAGGACTCTGGTGGCCAGAGAGAGCCTGAGCAGGAGGTGGACAAGTTGGTGTGTGATCTTTTTGCATTATGAGACCTGGGAGACACCTAACATCAGGGGTGTGCAGTTGGGATGCTTGTGAGGTACCTGAGTAGAGAGGTACTGGGGTCTCTTAGGATGGACCAATCCACAGAGGGAAGGGAAGAAGGCCAGGCTGGGTGTCTCTTGAGCTTAATGATTGATGTGACCCGGGCAGGAGCAGGTGGAGGGAGCCAGCAAGACTAGAGAATGTGGAAGGGCCAGGAGGGGAAGTGGGGCAAACAGTGGACAACGGAAACCCTATGGCACAAGTGCCAACCTGTACCGTTCTCTAATCTTCTTGGCTCTAGGGATGTGCGAAAGTTCAAGGAGACCAAGAAGCAGTTTGACAAGGTGCGTGAAGACATGGAGCTGTCCTTGGCGAGGAATGCCCAGGCACCTCGGCATCGGCCCCATGAGGTAGAGGAAGCCACAGGAGCCCTGACCCTCACTCGAAAGTGCTTCCGACACCTAGCGCTGGATTACGTACTACAGGTCAGCCCTCGGCAATGGGCAGTGGGGCAACCCCTCCTGAAACTTCTTGCAGGAGCTGGTGGGTGGGCTAGATCCTGTGAAACAGAACAAGGAGATAGCTAGTGTGCGATGCCCAGGTCAACCCTGGCTTTGTGGGCAGTAGGAGTAGACACAGGGACTCCAGGATATGGGAAGAAGGAGCTGGCACAAGTACAGTGTGCTAAAGGCCACCTGGGGACCGCAGAGAACCACAGACAGCCCAAGTGGACTCTGGCAAGGTATGTCCCTGCCTGACACCACTCACCTGTTAACTCCCTGTTTTGGCAGATCAATGTTCTCCAGGCCAAGAAGAAGTTTGAGATCTTGGATTCTGTGAGTGTGGGGGCAGGGTGGGGGATTTCAGGTATCTACCATCACAGAGGGCTGGCCTCACCTGTGACCGCCCCCCTCCCCTCCCCCCCAGATGCTGTCATTCATGCATGCCCAGTACAGCTTCTTCCAGCAAGGTTATAGCCTTCTACACCAGCTGGACCCCTACATGAAGAAGCTGGCGGCCGAGGTGGGCAGTGGGAAGGGCGGAGCTAGGGCCAGGATCTCCAGGAGGTGAGTGCTCACCACCCTCCTGATGCTGGCCCCACCCACAGCTGGACCAGCTGGTGATTGACTCGGCTGTGGAGAAGCGGGAGATGGAGCGAAAGCATGCTGCTATCCAGCAGAGGGTGAGACTCTGCCCAGAGTGTGTTGGGGTGTGTGTGAGGGGAGCCCCATCCTTTATCTCCTCCACCCTTTGACCTCAGAGAGCCCCACCCAGCATATAGATTGTCCCACTCAACATGTCCTGGGACAGGGGGGCTGTTTCCCCTTGTTCTCCTGGGGTAGACCTCCTCCAGGTTGGATGGTGGGGTTGGAAGGACTTGATGGAGGCCAGACCCCTTTGTCTATGATTTGAGCTGGCTCCCTGAGGTCTGAAGGAGTCTTGGTAGAACAGTGGTTAAGCACTCATCTGCTCACTGAAGCATTGGCAGTTCGAACCCACCAGCTGCTCTGTGGGAGAAACTCTGTGGGGCAGGTTCTGCTCTGCTCTGTAGGGTCCTTAGGAGTCACAATCGAGTCCATGGCAACCAGTGGGTTTGCTTTGTGTTTTTTTCTTGGTCCTTTCCCTCCTGGAGACCAGCAATGGCCTTAGGTGCTGGCTCCTTCTAGGACCTCTGCTTACTTGCCAAACAGCTGCCCCCATAGCTACCAAGGGGAGAGGTGGGCGGCAATGGAGGGGGAGTGGCTATTTTAAGACTACAAAGAGGCCTGCAGGAACTAGGAGCTGGTGGTATAGGACCCACAATCCGTGGGGGGCGGGGGGCGGGGGGGGGGAAGGGCTTTAATCCCTGGGCCAGGGGAAGGGCTGGGGGACTCGGAGGGATTGATGCTGGAAGGGTGGGACACGCACGAATGAGCTCTCTCCTCTCCACCTCCCCCCTGCTCTGACCCCCCAGACGCTGCTTCAGGTGAGTATCCTCTGGGTTTGGGGTGGAGAGGGGACACACCAGACTGGGTGGGGCCTCTACCCTCCCCCACTCCTTGGGCAATTCAGCACCAAGGACACCTCCAAGGGCCCAGAGCTCCAGAAAGCCTGCTGATTCCCTAGAGGCCTGTCTCCGTCTGTCCGTCCATCAACTGTGCACAGGGGTGTGAGTGGCAGCTGGCACCAACAGGACTTGGGCTGAGCCGGACTATGGTCCGTGGGGGCAGCAGCAGCTGTCCCTGCCTCCCTCACCCAGGCTGGGAGCAGGTGCAGGCCCTCCTTCTTCTCTACCCGGCTGCTGGTCCGCTGCATTCGGACACACAGAACTCAGTGGTCCTGGTGTAAATGGAGCTCTGTCAACCATCAGACAGCAGGCCCAGCTGGCAACATGAATGGGCTCAGGATGTGTGTGGGGGGGGGATGGGAGGGGAGGGGACAACTTCCTTCCTGGTCCCAGAGACTGTTTGTCCTTCCAAGACTGGCGGGGCGGGGGGGAAGGGCAGGCTGGCATTAAGGCCACAACTGTTAGTGAGAGGGGACTGTCCCCCAGGGGTCTCAGGACCCAAATATAAGGGGCAGGAAGTGTCAAGCATCTCGTGTCTGAGAGCATATGGTCACGTGTTTGCATGCGGCCTTGTGGCACCCCAAGAAGTGCCCATAGCAGCCTTTACACAAGGGGGGCAGGGGATGCTGCTGAGGACCGGACCTGGACTGACCTCCCTAGGACTTCTCCTACGATGAGTCCAAGGCAGAGTTTGACGTGGATGCGCCCAGCGGTGTGGTGATGGAAGGCTACCTCTTCAAGAGGGCCAGCAATGCCTTCAAGACCTGGAATCGGTGAATGCCTAGAGCAGGCGGGGTCAGGGAGCAGGCTAGGGTGGGTCAGAGGAAAAATGGGGTGGCTTTGCCTGACCCCTACATCTCACTCACCTGCCAGACGCTGGTTCTCCATTCAGAACAGCCAGCTGGTCTACCAGAAGAAACTGAAGGTGAGCATTGGGGTTGGCCAGGGCTCACCACTGACTGGGCCCCTCCCCTACCTGGACCATGGGTAGTCTGCTCAATGAGGCCAGCACAGGCTAGGACACTATGGACATACAAGCCAAGAGGTCAGAGGTCCAGAGGGTTGGACACAGAACTGAGAGTGCTTGGGACTTAGATGGCCTAAATCGTGGTTGGGGCAGAGCTGAGGGTGAGGGTGGGACTGGGGACGGAGCTGGAATGTGGAGCCAGTGCCAGTGGTGGTGCCACTCACAGGATGTGCTGACCGTGGTGGTGGACGACCTCCGTCTATGCTCTGTGAAGCCCTGCGAGGAAATCGAGCGCAGGTTCTGCTTCGAGGTCGTGTCACCCACCAAGTGAGGAGGTGGAGCCTGGGGGCAGGGGATGGGAGGCACCCTTGCTTTTCCAATCTGATGGTCCCCTGCCTCCAGGAGCTGCATGCTACAGGCTGACTCAGAGAAGCTCCGGCAGGCCTGGGTTCAAGCTGTACAGGCTAGCATCGCCTCCGCCTACCGGGAGAGCCCAGACAGCTGCTACAGTGAGGTGTGCCTCCTTGAGTCCTGCATACTTACATGCACATGTGAGAAGACCACTGCAGGCTGCATGCATGTGTGCATTGTGCACGCATATATGAGCACGTAGGTGCACATATATGTGTGTGCATGCATGTGTGGGTGTAAGAGCAGCACAAGTGTGCGTAGGCTTGTGCTTCAGAGGTTTTGACCTATGCTGGCTCCTTTGGCTGGAGAGGTCCTGCTAGGGAAACTGAGGTCCAGGTGAAGCTGATGCCCTGTTGGGCTGAGGGCTTCCTATTGTCCCCCCTCCCACCAGAGGCTAGACCGCACTGCATCTCCGTCCACGAGCAGCATTGATTCCACCTCAGATTCCAGGGAGCGCAGCACCAAGGCTGAGAGTACCTTGCAGCGGGTGCAGAATGTTGCTGGCAACAGCCAATGTGGTGACTGTGGCCAGTTGGATCCCCGCTGGGCCAGCATCAACCTGGGTGTGCTGCTCTGTATAGAGTGCTCGGGCATCCACAGGTGGGTACCACTGGCAGGTAGATTGGGGTGGGGCAGCAGGGGGCACCCTGACTCAACACTGCCCTTGGCCCTCCAGGAGCCTGGGTGTTCATTGTTCCAAGGTGCGGTCCCTGACACTGGACTCATGGGAGCCAGAGCTTCTGAAGGTGGGTGTAGGGGCTGGGTGCAGAGGTACTGTGGGGCTGGACACCAGAGTCTACAAGTTGCCACGCTACACCTGTCTCCCGTAGCTGATGTGTGAGCTTGGAAACAGTACTGTGAACCAGATCTATGAGGCCCAGTGTGAAGGACTGGGTAGCAGGAAGCCCACGGCCAGCAGCCCCAGGTGAGGAGGGTGCAGTTGACTGGATCAGAAGACCCTGACAGCCCTAGGTGAGGGGGGTAGCCTGCTAGGCTGGGGTTCCCTGCCTGAGTCCACCTGACATTTTCCTGAGTCCAGGCAGGACAAGGAGGCCTGGATCAAGGACAAATACGTGGAGAAGAAGTTCCTGCGGAAGCTGCCAGCAGCGCCAGACCAGGAGGCACCAGCTGACAGGGAGTCAGGTCCCCGGCGCTGGCAGGCAAAGAAATGCCAGCGGCACCACAGCTCCCCCCGGGCCCCTACCACACACCGCCGCAAAGTCCGGCTCGAGCCCGCCCTGCCCTCCATCGTAGCCCTATCCTCAGGTACCAGGGCCACCAACAGATCCCATGCACATCAAACTCTAGAGTCTAGACCCGGTACTTGGGTGGACGATCTAGAGGGTAGAAGGCAGAGGCTCACAGGTCTAACCCCCAGCACAACCTATACTAGCTCACCTAAGCACAGACCTCCGTTTCCCCACCTGAACCTTCCATTCTGCCCCCTGTAGCCAGCACTTTGGAACGCAAGTTCCGTCGGGATTCCCTCTTCTGCCCGGATGAGCTGGATTCTCTCTTCTCCTACTTCGATACAGGTGCTGCTGGGGCGGGTCCACGCAGTAAGTCCCAAGGAGTCCCCCCACATCCTCCTACCACCCACCCCCTTAGGGCCTGTCTCCAAGGGCAGGCCTTGCCTAGAGGGTGCCCAGGTATAGAATGAAGAGAAGATGTGTCTGCAGGAGGGTCTGAGCTGAGGAGCCAGCATTGCAAAGAGGCCAGTTTAGGGGTGGGGAGGATTTGGGGATCAGTATCTTGAGGGGCCAGTAGTGTGTTGACCTGGAGACCAAGGCCAGAGCTGATGAGAATGATGTGTGCAGGTGTGTGTGTGCATGTGTGTGGAGTTGTGTTCTCACAAATATATGTTGGAGTGTATAGGATTGAGCATGCAGTGCTCACATAGGTATTATGTATGAGCACATCACTGTGTATGTGTGTGTGTGCATATGTGGCTGTGTGTACACCATTGTGTACATGTGAATGTGTGAATTAGGCATGTGTGTATGGCTGCGTGTACCCAGATGTGTGTGTGTACCAGTGATGTGGGTGTGTATTTGTGAGCCAGTACCCATTTGCACTGGGGAGTTTGGGCAGTGGTGTGCAGGAGTAGAGTCAGCTCGTGCAATACAATTGTGTTCATCTTTTCCCAACTCTGCTTGGAATTGGCAAACACTACAAGTCAGCTCTCCCAACCCTAGGATTGGTTGCTAAACATTTGTTGTTAAGTGCCTTCAAATCAGTTCCAACTTACTGTAACCCTGTCTAGGGTTTCCAATGAGCAGCTGGTAGGTTTGAACAACCAACATTTCAGTTAGCATTCCAGTGCTTATACTGCTGTTGTTCAGTGCCATGGAGTCGATTCCAACCCATATTGACCCTGCATAGGGTTTCCGAGACTTTAAATCTTTGAGGGAGCAGAAAGCTTCATCTTTCTCCTGCTGAGCAGCTGGCGGGCTTAAACCGCGGACCTTGTGGTTCGCACGCAGCCCAGTGCTTATTGTAGAAAGTCACCTACTATCATACGACACTATGTACTGCTTTCCTGGGCAGTGTCTGGACACAGGGATAGCATCGGAGCTGGCAGAGCTGATGGGGGCCAGACAGGGGCGACAGCGTGCAGCAGAGGGCGCTGCTGAACCCACCCTTTAAAAGCCTGGAACTTGTGTGGGGTCAGACTGTCCTCCGCAGTTGAGGTTCTGCCTTTTCCCTGGGGTACTGGAGCCCAGGACCTGCAGCACTCACGAACCCCTGTTCTCTGTGGGCTCTACAGGTCTGAGCAGTGACAGTGGCCTGGGTGGGAGCTCAGACGGCAGCTCGGACGTACTGGCCTTCGGCGCTGGCTCAGTGGTGGACAGTGTCACAGAAGGTGAGTGCATGCCCCGCCTATGCCCGTGTCCCCGCCCCTCTCCCAGGAGGCCACTGGAGTGCCCCCTGGTGGTAATACCCCTGACAGTGTCTCTCCCTGCAGAAGGCGGGGAGTCAGAGGCATCCAGCGGTGAGGCGGATGGGGAGGCTGAAGCCTGGGGCTTGGCGGATGTGCGGGAGTTGCACCCAGGACTCCTAGCACACCGAGCTGCTCGAACCCGTGACCTTCCCGCGCTGGCCGCGGCGCTGGCCCACGGGGCTGAGGTCAACTGGGCCGACTCAGAGGACGAAGGCAAGACACCACTGGTTCAGGCTGTGCTAGGGGTGAGTGGAACGCAGGCAATAGAAGACACGCGAGCTCCTTTGCATAATTTGATGTACATTTACATAATATGATGATATTTGCATACTTCTGACCCTTTTTTCTGTGGTGCCCACCCAAGGGCCCCTTGTCTTGGTGTAGGGAGCCATTGGGGGTGGGGGAGGGCATTTCCTCGGCTCAGTCTGATAGGTCCCACCCCACAGGGCTCCTTGATCGTCTGTGAATTCCTTCTGCAAAATGGAGCGGATGTGAACCAAAGAGACAGCCGAGGGAGAGCGCCTCTACACCATGCCACGATCCTGGGCCGTACAGGGTGAGCATCCAGACTGCCTCACGGGCCCCAGCCCAGGCTGCAGCATCTTGGGGACCCTCCCTAACTCACCCCTCCTGCCCTACAGCCAGGTTTGCCTGTTCTTAAAGCGTGGGGCCGATCAGCATGCCCTGGACCACGACCAGCAGGACCCGTTGAGCATTGCAGTGCAGGCGGCCAACGCAGACATTGTCACCTTGTGAGCTTGAGACAAGGGTCTGTGGGGTGGGGCGGAGTCCTCAGAGAAAAGCAAGTGGGTTCTCAAAGAGCAGGGTCGTAGTCAAGTTGGAGGAAGTCTTTTGGAGGAGGGTCCTGGAATGGGCCAGTAGGGCAGGGGTCTTCCCTGAGTAAATATGGCATGTCAACCTCACAATGCTGGCTCCCCCAGGCTCCGTCTGGCACGCATGACTGAGGAGATGCGTGAGGCTGAGGCACTGCCAGGCCAGCCAGGCCCTCTGACAGGTAGCAGCCCTACCGAACTCCAGTACCGTAGATGCATCCAGGAGTTCATCGGCCTGCACCTGGAGGAGAGCTAGGGCCGGGCCGGCCGGGCAGCCACGGGACCCCACCCCGGCACCCGGCCGCCGGCCAGGCCACCCCGCATGCCTCTGGAGACCCCGGCCCTGCCCACCCCTGGCCCTGCCTATGATGACACCTGGGCCCACTTCCAACAGCCTCTATGCTGGGCTCTCCTCCAAACTGCCCAGACCCCCCAGGAGGAGAGAGGGACCCCAGCACTGAACCTTCTCAAGCCCTAACTTTCCTCAGGGAGGGAGACCGCATCACCTGGTGCCCCTCACCTCTCCTGGGGAGCCTATGTCCTCAAGTGACCCATGCCTTCCTCTGGGGCCTGGGTTGCTCAGACCACAAGCCACTCAAGGCCCATATCGCCTCGTGCCCTCTTTGTCCTTGGAGTTTGGGTCACCTTATGTGTGCCCCTCAGACCTGGGTCCAGGTCACCTTGTGGGCCCCATGTCACCTCGTGCCCTCTCTGTCCTCAGAGCCTGTGTCACCTCGTGCCCCACCTTCACTGCCCCAGAAAACTGGCCTGCCAGTTGAGTCCCTCCTACAGGCCCCCCAGAGTCCCTTCTTTCGGCTCCAAGACTGGTGGCTGGCCACCAGTACCTTGCCGGGGCAGGGAAGGGCAGCCCATCCAGGGATCAACCCCGTGTACCTCACTTAGTGACCCCAGCATCCAGACTGGGCTACAAGGGTGCTGAGTGGGTGGGAATCTGGCCTAGGGCTTCAGCCTCTGCTGGACGCTGGCGTCCTGGGCCACGTGGCTGGCCACACAGGCCCATAGTGAGGGCCAGCCCCAGACCAGTCCCTGCCCCCTCCGGAGGCACCTTCTCCAGTACTCAACCCAGAGCCCTGCATAAAGCAACTTTGGCACTTTCTACCCGCATCTGATGTCCTTTGTTATGGCTGAGCGGGTTTTCTACAATGCCCTTGTTTGGACTGTATTGCGTCTTTTCTCTCTGGACTCTGGAGGACCCCCTGCCCTGGCTCTGCCTGCAACCTGACCCTGCCCCTGCCAGCCTTGCCCCTTGGGCTGGGCCCTCAGTGGGGTCAGGGGTCTCTCAGCCACTGCAGGGCTCCACCCTCTTTGTTTCGCTTTTTTGAAGGAAGGCCCGGAGCAGCACCTGGGCACCCTCCCCAACTATGGACCCTTGGTCAGGCCAGTCAGCTGGTCATTATGCAAAATGCTGTCCGGAAAGGCTCAGTGGGTGGCAAGGCTGACCGGGGCACTCCCAACTCCCTTACCCAATGGCTGTGAACCCTAAAGAGAAAATTAACTCCTTCCTTTCTCCCTGCTTGAGCCCTGCCCACCACTCCGGATCACACACTGTTAATAAACCTCTGCCGCTTGCCATGCCTCCTGCTGATTGGCTCTACCTTCGTGCTTCGCTCTGGCTCTGGCTCAGCTCTCTCCATGGGAGAACACGATCCTTTCCCCAAAAAGATGCCATTTGGGCTTGGTTGAACTGGCAGGCCAGGCCAGCCCCCACTGCCAGGTACCTGATGGAAGGACTGGGGCTTCTTTGATGAACACAGACATTTCCAGCCCCTTCTAGTAGGGGCAGGGGTGCAGGGGCCGTGGGAGTGACACCAGCAGGAAGTTGGTCTGGGCTAGTCCCATTCCCTGGGCCTGAAAACTGAGCCTTTGCCCAGTATATCTCCTGATTCCATCCGATCCTTCCATGCTACCCCCCCGTGCTGCTGTGGTCTGCCCCAAGAGGGATCAGACTAACCAGGGGTAACATGGACGTGCACACAGATACTGGCCACTAGGGGGAATCTCTATTTTATTACCAAACAGCCCAAGGTCACCAAATGTCTTGGCCAGGGCAAGTTATATCCTTCCTTCAACCCCAAAGGTAGGACAGGCTCCACCTGATACATGAGCACACAGACAGGTACAGTGTAGACACACCCCAAAACATGATGAGTCCCTCATACATGAGAATACAGACATGTATTTCCTCCACACGCACATGCACACAGGTGACTCCTCCGTGTGGACACTCATTCTCCTCCTGGGCCCTGGGCCTCCTATGTTTTTAATTTTAACTTTTTATTGTGAAGGTTTACAGAGCAGATCATGAGTTTTACATTTAACAAAGCAGACACTTCATTTCATCTCAGTGATGGCCATCTCCTCCATGTAACGTCATTTATCCCACTTCCTGTGCGTTCTGTTTCCCTTCCTCCTCCTTTCCCACCCTTCTGAACTTTCTCCTGGAGTAAATACTGCCCTTTTGATCTTAAATAGCTGACCAGTCTATGGTGTATGTACCGTACAAGTGTTGTCCCCTCTGTAGACTTACCGGTTGCTTGGCTGAAAATTGAGCCACGGGGGTGAGTTCAATTCCAGAGGCGAAGGGTGACCAGGGGTCATAGTCTCAGGGTTTCCCCAGTCTCTCTCGGACCAGTAAGCCTGGTGATTTTGAGTTTTCTTCCATATTTTCTCCCATTCTATCCAGAGCCTTTCAATGTAATCTCTTTCAGAGCATTTAGTACCATAGTGTAGGGGTTACGAATCGGAATCTGCAAGGTCAGCAGTTCGAAACTCCCAGCTGTTCCGCAGGAGAAAGATGAGGTTTTCTGCTCCTGTAAAGATTTACAGCCTCAGAAACCCTGTACAGGGTCTCTATGAGTCGGAACCGACTCCACGGCACATGACCGCCACCACCAGTTCTTCTGGTCTCAGGTTTTGGAGATTGATGTTCACGTGGCCCATCAGTCCAGTAGGCTAACTGCTTCCAAGTGTCTTCAGTTTTCATTATTTTTCTTTCCTCCATACCTGGAGAAGCCATTAGCCATACCTCAGATGGCTAAGACTTAAGATTCCAGTTGCAACTCACCAAAGTAGAATTAAAAACATTCTGTGGACTATGGTATGCCAATCGACCATGGTATCTTCCCAAGTCTATGCTATGGTCCTGAACCCCCAGGGCCAGAGCCTTCTTGAGACTTGTGACCTCGAGGGAGGGCAACTAGGCCCATGGGAGGTCTGAATGTGTGGGATGCCTGCTCACTATGGGTTAGGGGCTACACTTCCTGGACCACCTGGGCTTGCTTGGGTGGCCAGAGGAAGCCCTGTTGTGGGGTCTAGCCCACCCTGGGCAGTCAAGGCAACCCGATGTTGCCACAGCACCTTAGAACTACACAAAGTGACCAATGGCCCTTGCAGGACTGGTACAGGTGATAGGAGTCTGTGGAAGGGTGGTAAGGGGCCCCACACCCACTCTAACTCTAGCTGAGACTCCCATCAGAGCCTCTGGAAGCTTCCGTGGGAATTGCAGCTGGCATGGCCTCATGCTGGTAGTTGACAGGCATCTGGCCAACTTCCATCTGGGCATAGGGTGCCCCTGCCACCGTGCTGGGCCCTGGCTGGGACGGCCATGCTTCACAGAGCCTGGTAGTCTTGCTCCACCAATTCCATCAGGGAGAGCATGGACATGCCGAACCACTGGCTTATGAGGCTTTTCATCTCCAAGAACATTCTCCACCTGTGATGAGGCCCTTGGTGAGCTGGGCAGGGCCCCTGGCACATGGTGGCCCTCACCCTGCCTGCCTCCCAGCTTGGCCTGCCCAGCCTGCCGGCTCACTAGGAGCCTTTCCTTCATCTTGAGGTAGTTGAGTCCCTGGTAGATGCTGTTCACTTTGGCGATGCTGCTCCTGGGTGAGTAGAAGGTGTAACAGGCAGCCCTGCTTGGTGGGGGTACCTCCTTGGAGATGCAAGAGGAGGCAGGGCACTAACAGGTCACTTGGAATGACTCCTTCGGGGTGGCAATCTACAAACACACTTTGGGCTCTGGCTCCGGTTCCGGGGACCCTGGAGCACAGCCAGGATCCAGTCCTATACAGAGAAGTTTCCATGTGACCACTGCCCCCTACCCAGCCCCCTTGCCCCAGCACCAACAGGCAGCCCCCATCCACATTCCTTTGGAGACACTCACAACAGACTTGGGTGAAGGCCATCTGGAGGTTTCCATGGAGAGCTTGTATAAGAACTCACTGAGAGAGACCCAGCCATCACTCCCCTGCTGTGCTACCTAAGGCAGTGACCCCTGATCCCCAGGGCCCCCCACTCACTTGCAGGGCCTGGGACAGAAAGAGAAGCAGGAGAGGCTGGCTATGAGTTTCCAGTTCTGGGTAGAGGCGTTAGAAGCAGTGACCCAGAGGTGTGGTTACGGATGGAACCATTAGGAGCTACCCAAGGATGGCTGGAAGGTGAGGTGGTGAATGAGTGTGGCTCATTCTCAGCCGCTAGGCCTATGGGTCAGGGTTCACTCCTGGCCAGGTGGGTGGTGGGAGTGTGTGAGCTGGTGAAGAGTTCACTCCAGGCTCACTCCACGCTGGATGCTAAGCGTAGGTGCAGTTCTCAGCCCCCGCGGGTAGGGGGTAGCGGTAGTAGCCACAAGAGCAGTTATTGATAGTCAGCTGCTGGAAGCAGGAGAACACGCAGGCTTGGAGAGACACGAGGGAATGAGAGTTGGGAGCCCTGAGGGCCACTGTCTTCACACCACCGCCAGGACCGGCACAGCCATCTCTCCCTCACAGCGGAAGCTTCTCACTGTCCCCACCTATGCGTCTCATCTCGTGTTCTGTTCAGAGTGATGGAGGGTGGTGGCTTCCCTTGAGTACTCCTGCCTCAGTGCTGACCCTGCATGGTGTCGGACGTATTGTACAGCAGCGGCAGGTCCACGTCCTCGTCTCTGTCCACGCAGTTCCCGTAGGAGCTCAGGAGCCTGTGGACCTCTTCCTGGGGAAAAGCCGCTTCAGTTCCAGCCCCCACCCCCACCGACATTCCCACCCTGGACCTTCCATCCTGAACCTTTCATTGGCTCCGCCCACCGTAAGGAAGCTTCCATTCACTTCTTGGATGCTTAGGGTGAAGTTGCTGGGCTCCAGGAAGCGGGACTCCAGAAAGGGCGTATGGTTGTGCCCGTGGATCATGACCTTTATGCCAGCCTCCGTGGACATCAGGGGCAGGTGGTCCTGCTGCTCTACCCTGAGCACCAGGATGATCCCTGGAGGGTTGTGATGGGGTGAAGCTCCTCAGCCACCTACCCTAGCCCACACCCAGCGTGCCACAACCTAGCCTCCTCTATCTCTGTGGCCCAGCTAGCCTTCTCAGATCCCACCCAGCCTGCTCTGCATTCCTGGCCCCTCTCCCTTGCCTGGCTCCCTCCTCACCCACCCCTGCCTGGCCCTCATTTTGACCTGGGATGCCTCTCACCTCTGGTGATATCCTAGTGCTTTGATGCCAAGATATCGTTGAAGGTGTAACAACTGCTGTAGATGGGATGGTGGAAGGTCTTGAAGCTCCTGGAAGAAGGGACCAGGCTCAATCAGGCCTATGCCATTGACAGGTACCCGATGCCCCATTGCCAGTGGCCTGGGAGATCACAGCCTGTCTTATCTTCACAAAGGCTGTGTGTGGCTACTTTCCAGCCGGTAGTCCCTAGGATGCACCCACCCAGCCTTACTCCTCACCCAGATGGGCATTCTTGTTGGTTGTTTTGGCAGGAGGGGTCAAAGTGGCTCTGGCGGCTGTCTTCCTGGGTGTTGGCCAGAATGTTCATGTAGTGGAAATGGTGCCACTCCTGGATGGCCCTCTCAGCTGAGGACTAGGTACGGTTGAAGCAGTTGCCACCCGTACTGTTGCTCTGAGGGGGATTAGGGGATCAGTCTAGTGACTGTAGCTCCCTTGTCTGCCCTCCCGGCTTGTCTCCCCCACTCCCATGCCACACTGTTCTGTCCATCTGCTCCTTGGGGTGACAGCATGTGGTGACCCCTGCTACTGCCCCATCAGGGCCAGGGACACTCACCAGTCTGAACCCCACTTTGTATTGGCTGCGTGGTTCACTCAGCCTCTGCAGACGGAGCCCTTGGTCCAGATGGAAGGCTGACTCCGGGGCCCAGACTGTCGGTTGTGGGGATGGTCCTGGTGGGGTCCCTGCCCTTGCTGAAGTTGAACTTACACAGAGAGTAGATGTTCTCCTGTGTGTTTGCTAGCTCCTTCAGGTGCTAGCTGACGGCCCTGGGTGAGATGGGTGGCTACTTTAAGTCAGAGTCTCAGCTCTGAGACACTGACCCCAATGTTGCAGTGCTCTGTAGCCTCGGTCAGTGGCACACATGGGGACGTAGGCTGTCCCCACAGGCATCTGAGGGGCTCTCTAAATTGGGAGGCTGACATAGACACTTTCTGTGTTTCCTGGAGGCTGCAGAATGAGGCAAGCAGTCTGGTCCAGTCCTCCCTCACCCCCCTCTCTCTTACACCCCTGCTGCCTCCCTGCATGTAGCTCTGCTCCCTTCCCAATGACCCTGACATTGTAGTTAAGCTCTGGGTCACCCTTCTGGAAAGTGTCCTTCCCTCCTTAGCACCTTAGGTCACACTGGGCTAGAACTCCTTATCTCTGCTGCCCACCACCCCACCCCCACCCCCGGCAGAGGTCCAAGAGGTCCTGGCTAAGCATGGGGTTGGGGGAGATAGGAGCCATCCCTGATTGAGGTTATGTGGAGGGGACTGCTGCAGGCTGCCAGGCAAGGAGTTGCCACCCCAGGCCCACTGTAGCCCCCGCCCCCCACTTCCATTCTGGTCCCCCACCCTGGTCCTCATCAGTGCGGGTTCATGTCTGACTGCTGGGGAGAGCTTGGTTATCATCGTGGTTCCCTGGTGACCCCAGTAATCCTGACGATGTACTGTGTACTTTCATCAGAACATGACCAGAGCCCCCAGGAGCAGCAGGCTGCCTTCCAGAGGTGGCTGTGGCTGGAGCTGACCAGGTGGCAGGGTCCATGGATGGTGGTATCGGTGCAGAAGAAGGTGAACAGCTGTGTGAAGGAGATAGGCAGCTCCATCAGCCCCTCCCGGTGTTCCTTCTCAGCTGACAGTGGAGGTGGCCCTGGTGGCAGCAGTGGGGATGGCTGAGCCTGGGAGTGCCCCTAAGTCCCTGATCCTGCAGTGGCTGTGAGGATCCGGGCTCCTATCTGGAGCAGATAAGCATTTCACTAGGTCTCTACCAGGTATCTCCCCAGCCAGGGGTGGGCAAACTTCCATTTTTAGCTCCAGGGACACTGAGGCAGTTGGGTTCAGGTCCGCAGTATTGTATTATCAAAGAGTGAAGTCTGAGCTGGAGCTGGGGTGCTCAGAGGGTGGAGGTACACGGTGTTCTGGGTCTACCTGGCCCTGTTTGCAGGCCAGGGCCCAGTGCTGGAGTTCTGACTGGAGGGCCTCACCTTTCTGGGCTGCAGACCTTCAGCTGGCACCGGCAGTTCCCTTAGATTAGTACCGATTTGGGCCAAAGGTCAGGCCCAAGCTCAGTCCACTGCTGTGGGCTAGGGTGGGGTACCATCACTGAGCTGAGTCCCTTGGGAAGCCCCTTTCCAGGCTCTTGGGATGCAGGACGAAGTGGATAGGGAGCCAGCAAGTTGTGAGGGCTCAAGGAGCCCAGGGAAGGGAGGCCACTGTAGGACTCTGGTTGTATTTTCTCTTACTCCAGGGTCTCCTGGTCAGCTGAGCCCTCTTGGGCAGGACTGGGACTCAGCTCCCCTGCACACACAGACGGGCAGGCAGCTGCTGAGGGGCCTGACACTCTCTGAGTCACTTGTATGTGCTTCCTGTGGACTTTCTACTATGGCCCTATCTCGATGTGAATCAGCTGAGGTTTCCTGCACCTGTCCAGGCTGCCACCTGCTGGACTCTGGCCCACTCCCGACGCCCAGCTATTGGGCAGGCCCTCAGGGGCCAAAGGGAGAGCATCTCTGGGTCTTGGCCAGTATGTGCCCTGCCTGGCATGTACACATGAGCAGGCTGCTCCCGGGTACACTAGGAACCTCTGTATAGGAACTGGCCAGTCAGCCGGGTGAGGATCCAGGGATGAGTAGTTGAGGGTTGGATTGGAGTCCCTCCACCCCCCGATTCAGCTTCTTGGCTCAGGAGGTTGAGCCAGTATGGGCCCAGACAGTATGGAGCTGCACCCACACACCTGTGTCCCCACAACCACACTGAGCCAAGAGGTTCTAGAAGGTTCTGTCTGCTTTACCTCTCCACCTAGACTAGCTCCCTCTGGCCTCGCCCCTCCCACCACAGCTAGGGTTGCTAGGATAGAAAAAAGGGGAGCTCTGAAGAGAGGCTCTTGGGGACCAGAGCAGCAGTGCATACCCCCTAGGCATGTACAGGTATGTGTTCTCCTTCCACTGGCACTCCATCACTGCCTCTGTGGGGCCATGTGGGTAACTGCCTCCCTTCCCCCCACCCCGCCACCGAGTGGGTTTGTGTGTGTGACAGGAATACACAGGTCTCTCCTCCTGGCCTGGTTCCAAGTATCCTCGCACTGGTGTGCCCTGTGTGGTGTGTGATTTGTGGATGCTCTCTGTGAGGTTGCTCCCTGGGGGCCTTCATAGACCTGTCCAGCTTATGGCATAGGCATGTACCCACCATGTGGGAGACCCAAGGCTCCAAGATGACTACTCTGTCAGTATCCTGCCTTGATAATACCCCAGAGGCAGGCATGGGAAGGGGAGCCCCATATCAAACTCCCTGTCCACATTAGGCCCCTTCCCCTCATCCGGTACCTTGAGGCTGAAACTCCCAGGTATAGGCACCTCCATGTCCCTGTTAATTGGAATTGGGCAGGCTGGTATCTGCTCAGTGGATGACAAGACAGGGATGTGACCTGAGGCCTGCTGGGCAACCTTCTCTATTTATGAGGCCAGGCATGCAGGGGCCGGTGGCAAGGGAGGAGCTGAGTGGGCCTGGGGATGGTCACACCTGCTCTTGGGACTGGGAAGGGAATGTCTTTGAGGACTAGGATATGACCTGGCTAGGATGAGGAAAGGAGAGGAGAGGTGTGCGTTGGACTGAGACCTCCTTGGGTGCCTAGTTTGCCCACCTTGAGCAGACCAGGTGCACCTGCTCTTCCTGCCCCCTCCAGCCCCTCACTGTGATATCCCCACCTCCTGCCTAATAGTGCCAGTTGTGACCACAGGGTGGGGGTGAGCAGGGGTTGGCCTGTCTGCTCCCAGCAGCCCCCAGGTGTCCTATAGGATCAGCTACTGGGATGGGCACTAGGTGTGGGAACAACCTGGGGTCTGATGGGGAGACAGAACTGGTACTGTTGGTGGGCACTTTGGTACTGCCGCCCTATTAGGTGCTAATGTCACTAGCAACCACACCACATACTCTAAGGTGACTATGGTTCCTTAAATGTATTTGATGTGACTTTTTAATCCAATGTCTTCTTAATTCCCACCCAGTGATTTGGGGCCATGCAAATAAGTTATGCTGTTGTTGTTGTTATGTGCTGTTCAAGTTGGTTCTGACTCATAGTGACCCTGTGTAGGGTTTCCCAGGGAGGTTTGAACTGCTGACCTTTGCATTAGCTCCTCAATTAGACCTCAAGAATCTAGCTCCTCAAGACACAGGGAAAGCTTTCTCTCTTTGTCAGCTCTGGAAGAAGGTGCTTGTCTCTATGAGCTTTGGTTCCTGGGCGATTTTCATGGGTTTGGCGTCTCTCTGTCTTCATCTCTGCTTCTCTGCTTGCTTGTTTAATCTCTTTAATATCTCAAAGGAGATTGATTTAAGACACACCTTCCAGTAATCCAGTCTTATTAACGTAATAAAGACAACCCATTCCCGAATGGGATTACGACCATAATCATAGAAGTTAGGGTTTACAACACATATTTTGGGAGTCACAATTCAATCCATAACAACCACGCAACACACACTAAGTACACCTACCATACACTAAGACCACATAGCACATATTAAGACCATATAGCACACATTAAGGTGACAAGTTGGGAGACTCCCAGGAAGATGGAGGCCAACGCAGATACATTATTACATGGACCATCTACAACAAAGATGTTTTTGTTAAGTGCTGTTGAATTGGTTCTGACTCATAGTAGAGGGTTTCCAAGGAACAGCTAGAGGGTTTGAACCACCCACCTTGTGATTTTCAGTCTAGTGCTTATCCTATAGTGCCACACCAGGAGTCCATAACAAAGATACAAACAATCAAATAAAACAGAAACAGAATTTCAGGGAAAGGTTATGAGAACTGGATTGAGTATTTGCTGGGAGGAGAAGCTGAGCAGGGACAATGAGAAAGAAAGACTGAATGGTGAACAGCTGGCCAGACACAGCATGACCATCTTGAATTTTTGTGAGCAGCTTTGGCGACACAAGGTAGCCTGGCAGAGCAGATTCACCAGGTTACGGGAAAGGTTCGATTACTCTTTTCCCTACATTCCTTTGGTGACTAGAGGTGTGGCCAATTCTCACCCTCATTCACCTCCAGCTCAGACCCTGCTCTCCAGAAGTTTGGAGCTGAGTGTGGTTGTGAGCTATGCCCATATGGGGGGATGGAGTGGGGAACACTGACTGGGCCACTTTGGTGCCTGGATTCAGGCGGGTTCATCTCCGGACCTATGGAACTGCAGAGCCACCAGATTAGCGTTGTTGTTGTTGTCATGTGCCGTGGAGTTGGTTCCAACTCAGCGACCCTGCACAGGGTTTCCGAGGCTATAAATCTTTATGGGGAGCAGAAAGCCTCATCTTTCTCCCACGGAACAGCTGGTAGTTTCAAACTGCTGACCCTGAGGTTAGCAACCCAGTTCATAACCACTACGCTACCAGAGGTCCTAGACTAGCGTTAGTCTAGCAAAAACTCTCACAGCCAGCCACCCAGCCCCCAGCTGCCTTGTGGTCCTAAACAGACACTGAAACCAGCTCCATCAAGGGCCTCCAGGACCATAGATTGGGTGCCCTGCATCTAGGTAACAGCTAGCATCTAGAGCCAGGACGTCTGCTGTCACATTCCTTCCACACCTACCTCATGAGCTCCTTGGCTGGCAGGAACCCCCCCCAAAGTTTTCTCCTCTCTAGATCCAACAACTACACAGTCTTTTGTTTTGGTTTTATTCTTTCATTGTTTTTGTTTATTTTTTTGTGGCCTCCTTATTCTCTTTACTTTCCCTTGAATTTTATTTTTTGTTTTTTCCTTCTTCTGTTTCTAATTTTCCCTCCCCCACTTTTGTTTTTTCTTTCCTATTGTCTACTCTCTTCTCTTTTCATCTTCCTTCCCTGTGGTCTTTCTAAGTTTTTAAAATTTCTTCCTTTCATTTTCTGTCTTATTTCTTTCTCCTATAGCTCCATTTTCTAGGCCCTCTTTTATCTTTTTACATATATTCTTTTTTTGTGGTAGCTGCCTGTTTTTATTTCTTTTTTTAATCTTTTATTATTTTCTGTTTTCTTGTTTGTTTATTTGGTTTTATTTCCTTGAGTGTGTGTGTGTGTGTGTGTGGTGAGGTTCTCCTCTTTCCACCCAACAGGATACAGCAATGGTGTCCATACAGCCCAGTTACAACCAAACCTTCTGCAGTTCTACCCACTGGGCAAGAGCCAATGCCAGCTCCTCTATCATGTGATCAACGATCTACAACAGCCAACAATAGCCAAATCCATCCTAAATTGAGGTACACAAACAGCAAGCAAGAACAGTGTACACACTTCCATTCTCTAACTACACCCACAGGAGACAGTTGGTGAAAGCCCAAGAACATACAATCATCAATTAAACACAAATATGACAACACCACAATGCCTTAGAGACAACAGACAATTTTAGCTCACATGAAGAAACAAGAATGGCTCAAACAAATGACCAAGATGCAGAGCCAGAAAATGTAACTGAGGAAGACTAGACAATGAAACTAACTGAAAAAGAAATTCAAAAGAATGGTATTTAGGTACTATGAAAGGATTCACAAAAAGATCAAGGAAAGCAAGGAGAATATAGGGGGAAAATTAGAATAATTCAGAAAAACACTAAAAGAATAATCAGACAAAATAAATGCAAATTTTGAAACAATACAAAGCCTGCAAATAGAAGTCCAA